TTACTTTTTCTGCTAATTACACAATTCAACGCGCAAAAACATAAGTTACGTGTTTGGTGAAATAGTTGGCTGATAAGCCTGATAAGCCGAAAAACAGTGTTGCCAAACGGCCTCTAAATTGGGACGGAGGTAGTAATATATTTATATAGTTTGGCCCGATATATATATATATATATATATATATATATATATATATATATATATATATCAGTATTGTTATATATTTATACTATACTCCGTATAATATACTACATGCATAGTATTTATTTATTATATTTAATATATTTATATATTTATTTATTATAACAATTAAGTAAATAGGCCCGAAATATATAAATATTTATATATTTATATATATTTCAATATGTATTATATATGTATACTACATAATATGCTACGTAGTATTTATATAATATTTAAATATTTATTTTATAAAAATTAAATATAAATTATAGAATGCCTATTTGGTATTTCGATTTACCGATTACCAAATCGAATTTTTTTTCGGTTTTTACCGAACCAAACCGATTTAGCTTGGTTCAGTATTCGGTATGTGAATATGCAAAACCGAAATTTCAGTTCGGTCCGGTATGACCGAACGAACACCCCTGCTCGGCTGCTCTAACCTCTCCTACAAAATATGACTTTCCTGTTTCTTGATATCCATTTTTCTTTTCTTTTTTCTTGCTTTTTAATTTGATTTCGTATTATTCTTTGATGAAGGGGACATGTTCATTCTGAATCGAAGCCTGATGGATCTTGACCGAGCTCACACTTTGTTGACTCACTCACCAACAGAAGAATTTGGTTGTAAGGATGTTTTTACCTGAAGTATAATTTGTTGTCATTTGTTTAAGTATGATCTGGTCTGATAAATGTCTGATCTCTGTATATTTTATAACTACAGAAGTCCAAGTTTGGTCTATTTAAGTCTAGTCTAGTCTGATTTTGTCTGTCCTATCACTACAAGAAAGTAGATCAGGGAAATTAATGAGAGTAACAAATCCCTCTCATTAAATGTGCGCCTTAGACTACCTTTAGTGACGGTAAAAAAACTCCCAATTAAAATTTAAGTACTTGGATGTTGAATGCTCCGCATGAGACTCTTCCTATCTATTACCGTCATTATTGCCAATATGTTAGCTCGCACTATTCGTCTACGGTTATTATCCCCAATAACAAGCTAGGGTTTTTAGGATTCCTCTGCAGCTTCTTTCGATAACCCTTCAGCCGCAACCCTTGATGAGTCAGAGACAAAGCCGCCACCATATACCACTACTCCGGCAAGAAGCTGTGATCTTCTCCTGCTTCGTGTTTGCAGGTCATTTGTACTAGTCCATGAGATCTTTCACATAGTGCGCCAATGTGTGAAATCGTTTGTGCACACTCAAATTTCTCTCAAATCTGATGTAAACTCGTCTATATTAGATTCGAAGTTCCAAAATCATCTGGTTTTTCGTATTTTTTCTGAAGTAATTGGTATTGTATATTATGTTGCTCTGCTGTACACAAATAAGTTTCAGGTTCACCCTGGATCTGGTTCGGCTCCCTACGGAAATGTTTCTTATCTTATCATCACCTGTGATTACAACCATTACTAATTCCTATCCAATTTTGTTATCTCAGTTCATCCGGATCTGAAACGTCTACTACCACTCCTTTATCTTGTAAGTCTCTATACATACTTTGACTTTTTCATGTTTCTTATAAGTTTTGAATTTCATTATATCTTGAAGCTATCATTGTTGGTTCTGAAATTGAGTGTTATTTATTTACTTAATGATATGTGTGGCACAAGTTCTATAATCTTAAATATGAAAATATGAAAAAAAACAATATTAGGGATTTATTTACTATATACGTTCAAGACTCATTAGTTAACTGGTTTTTTGTTTTTCTTTGTAGGCATTTGACTATTTTTTGTTCATGTTGTTTTTTATTGTAATTAGCTGGTATTTAAAGAAGAAGAGGAACATTTACGAATATTTGAATTTTTGTAGTGAACAATGGCTTGTTTTAGGTTTTGAAGTTGCTGGATTCCCAATAAGATTGGAGGTTTGCACTTTCTCATTTGTAACTCTGAATTTCATTATACATGAGTAGTGTATTCTAGTAGGAAAGTCAACGTGCACTTTCCTTGGTTTTTAAATCTTCTGATAAGAAAACAACCCCACAGTTTTTGCTTAGTCTGATTTAACTTATTGATGTTGATACTGTGCAGGTTTAATATTCAATTGATGTGTATTATCTCTTAAGGGACTTGAAACAAAAATGGAATCATTCTTGCAACACTTGGTAGGGTCTCTCTTGATTTTTATTTACTCTAGAACGACATTTTGTTGTTGTCTTTGTGAGTAAGTCAAGTCTTTTTTATTTAAAAGTTAGTAAAGAATATAAATAGCTCTTTTATATGGATATAAGTTTCTTTTGCTTGTGGATTACATATTCCAAGATGTTTGATTTACTTCTTATATATTTTGGTGGTCTTTTTTAAAAGTCTACATTAATTTTGCTGCAGTACAATGTTTATCATACTCTGTAACCAATTTGCTTGGATATCACTTTCAAGATGTTCTCTCTACATTGTATTTGAGTTAAGAACCAATTTGTTGTTCATTTCCTAGATTACTAGTTCAATTTTAGGTCATAGACTTCTGCAAATCAGATTTTTTACAATGAAATTACAGGAAGTTAAAGTTTTGATGTGTGTTTACTCTGTTTTTGCTATTGCAGTTTGCTTTCAAGGAGAAGTCAAAGCATGGATAGCTACTGCATGAATGAGTTCCTTAATTTTTTCCCCAGAATTTGTAATAATGAAATGGATCCCCACTTAGTAGAATAAACCCATATGTGTTTATTCTATCAATAAGAATGTTGTTTGTTGTAATCCCCTTCTATTTCGCTGAATTGTTGTAACACAATTATAATTATTATTTTCTTTCTTTACAAATCTTCAATAAATTAAAAGTTGAACTTTGATTCATGAGCCTTATACTTGTTCAAAATAATAGCAGTCCAATAAAATTCAACATAAAAAATGTAGCAAAAACGTTAAACTACTGTGAACTAATGAGATCAGAGGATCCAATCTATTAACAAATTAGTTTTTAATGAGGGTATAATTACTCTCATGATACACCACTTATTAATGATGGGAACTTATTCCCGTCATTATTTGTTTAAACTTTTAACTACGGAAGCTTTAGTGACGGGTCGTGACGGTATATTTCCCGTCACTAAATGTCTTTTATGACGGTATCTAAGCTTTTAACTACGGTATATCCTTTCATTAAAGACACATTTTCTTGTAGTGTATTTAAATCTGATCTAAAACTAAAAACAATCCAAGGTGAGATGGATTCTGGACTAAGGTTCTGGACTAAGGTTCTAGGGTTGGTATAGGCTGATGTTCTGTGAACTGAGGTTCTGAAAGAAAAGAATAAAAATGGAAACTAAGCTAAAATGGAACAGACAGGCTCTGATACCATGTTATCGGAATTAAGGATAGAATAGTAATGAGAAGAGAATGATTTTTTGTAGTTCATTGGAGGGTTAAGTCTCTATAAATATACATTACAAAGATAGAATATTCCTATAAGATTCTATACAATAATAATATTCTAGAGTAGAGGGCTCTTCTCATCAGGCCGGCCTGACGGGCTGCCCCGTCCGGCCGAGCCCGTTTGGGCACCTTCCCGGTGGAATTTTTTGATGAAATTTTTTGAGCATGTTCCTCATCAAGTCTAGTTTGTCCATACCAAATTTCAGCTCAAAATTCGATCGGGAAGGTCGTCAAATGATTTTTGCAAGTTAACTGGTCCGGAATACGATACTCATATTATTTGAGAACGTTGGTTTTGGTTCATGCTATAGTGAAATTAAAATAAAGGCCTTTGTTACATGAAATATTAAAAAATCATTATATATATAAGGTTTATATAAACAAAAGGGCTTGCACTTCATGAAAGTTGCCCACGTATTCTCTTTACATGTTCTCTTTAGAGAAATCAAAGCCCACGACGTAGTTCTTTATCGTATATATTAATCCGAACACTAGAATACACAGAAAGTTATATTCATCTACTCCTACCCTTGCCCAGTGGCGGAGCCAGAGATTTTTCGAAGGAGGGGCGTACCGAAGGTTAAGAATTATTGTGTAATTGCTCAAAATACAATAAAACAATAAAAGCGTAATATGTATAATCTGGGTAAATCAATCATATATAGTTTATTACATATTGTTTGACTCGTATCTATAATCTGGGTAAATCAATCATACGAGTTTTAATTTATTCAAAATGTTGTATGATAACTTCATGTTGGAAAAACACGACTCATAATACAAAGACTCAATCTGACAAAATCATTTTCTATTACCCACATTCACTCTTTGTATTTGGGAATATTATACTTTACCTAACTCGATCATGATCACATACACTTCATCAAGTGATATTTGTGTGTCTTCTTTCACAAGAAGGCTCTCACTTCCCTCTCTCACGGAGACTCTCACTTTCAATCACTCAAGAGCTCTCTTCAAGGTTCTAATAGAAATAGGAAACTTCTCTAAAGCTTCTCTTTATTCTAAAGATTTTCGCACACTTCCACACGATTTTAGTGAGTTCCACACTTCTCTAAAAAGGTGACAACTCCGGTACCTTTCTAAAATATGAGGTACCGCACCTATCATTCATTTGATTGGACCACACCACTTTATCATTTTTAATTTAGATTTAAATAATTCAACTGCTACATTTTCATTGGTCCATGTGGACAAAGGTATAGTACCTTATGGGTACCATATAATCTACCCTCTAAAAAACTCCACATTATTATTCTAGAACATTCAATACTTACCTACACACATATAGAGAATCTTAGACATCTTTGTAAGATTGTAAATTATAAAATTCTTGTTAATTTCTCCACTAAGGAGGGAATCCAACACAGTCTCGAGAATATCTTGATCTTTTCATTGCAAGAAATGTGACAACATATTCATCAAACTCAATACTTTCTTGCTCAATATAACCATGAAAAGCCAACAGTGTGTAATTAAAGGTCTAAAAAAATGCACACTTGCATTCAAATGAGTGTGGTATGTACTTGTATTCCTAGAGATACGTACATTTCCTGAAAGTCTTTACCTTTTATTATAACACTTAATCTAAAATTAATCTTAATTGGTATTGATTTTTGAAAAGAAGAAGAGATGCATTAAATATACTCAGTATTATTATAAGTAGTAGTACTAATTTTTTTTGCCCGAAGCGGGGGCGCTTGCCCCCTCATGCCCCTCCCCAGCTCCTCCACTGCCCTTGCCTACGTGCTATGAAATAAAAATGGTATAGCTAGGCAGCCTGCGCTATCTAGGAGTGAGGATGCTTTTGTAGGCTTGAAAATATGGAGAAGCAGCCAACACTTTTAGTGTAATGTAGTTTTCTTGATGTATCTTGAGTAGGGATTGCTTCTAGCATCTTCACCACCATCTCCATCTCTGGTCTCTTGCTCGAATCCGAATCCAAACACAATGTCATCAAATCTGCTAAACTCTTTGGGCACGAATCTGGTATGTCAAGTTTTCGACCCTGAACATTCATAAAAAAATCTCATGTTGGTGAATATACTAACTAAAGTGAATAGTAACATTGTGAAAACGAGTAATATATATAAATAGATGGACATACCTGGTCGACAATGAATGTGCAAGTGTAGATCTCCCACAAGCAAATTCCAAAGCTATATATGTCACACTTGTGGTCATATTCCTCTCCATCAAAGACCTCCGGAGCCATGTAACCTTGTGTTCCCGCACTAGCCGTCATCAAGTTCTTATTTGCTGCCTCCAATCGAGAAACTCCAAAGTCCACGAACTTCACACGTCCTTCTTTGTCAAGAAGCAAATTACGGGTCATGACATCTCTGTGGATGATTTTCTTAGAGTGAAGGTAACACAATCTGTAGCAATTCAACAGCATGTTAAGTGTTAGGAAATAAATTAAAACCCAAATGTGATAAGAAATAAATATGTGACTTAACGTGTATAGTAATAGTAATAAATGTAGTAGTGTGTATGTTACCCCTTAGCAATATCAATAGCAAAGTGAACAATATCCCTCTCAGAAAGCTTCTTAGTCCGGTGTCTAGAAAGGTGTTCCCGGAGAGAGCCGCCGGCGAGGTATTCAACCACTAGGCAGTAGCCATTCTTAGGCACTCTAAAGGTGTGTTTGGGCATGATATTCACCTTTGATAAGCTCCTTATTCCTCCAATAAACTACGCACAAATTAAAGAAAATTCAATGAATATACGGAGTATATATATAATGCAATGAACATGCGTTGTATGAAAAACAGATTTAGGGCCTGATTGAATTCTGAAAATTTCAAAGCAAATGAAAAACCCAAAGCTATATGTCCGTATTTGGGTTTACCTTTGCAACATTAGGATGGTCCAAATGATACCAAACAGACACTTCTTGGAGGAAATCTTTTTCCACTTTCTGCCTTGTATTTACGTCTTCCCATTCGAACACTTTGACTGTGGCAATTAATCAAATTGAGTTAATTAATTAATTTCAATCTATCTGGCCATATATGGATGAACAACATTACAACACAGACAAATAAATTAAACCAAAACATACAAATTAATTAAAGGTATATACAAACTTATAGAAACTGTTCGATCAACTAAACCTAAATACCTAATCAATTATATGTAGACATGCAGTCATACATTAATGATTAGATGTACCATACCTTAATATATTTACGTAAATAACGTAACTCAAGAGATATGAAAAAAGCTTGCATGCATGCATAATGCATTTATATGTAAATATTGAATGCGATAGTATAGTATATATGCCTAGTTCACGATTATAATTATTGATGTACCAAAAAAAAATACGAAGTATTACCTACTAGACCAGACTTCCTTAGTTATAAAATACACAGAAACCAGACATTTATCAAATCAGTTCAGACCAGTTTAAACCAGACTCGACCAGACTTAAACAGACCACACACACACACACACACCAACATATTTCAGTCCAAGTAAAAACATCCCTACTACGTCGTTGCATTACCCTTATTATATAAATAAATAATAAATAAAAATTATTGTACTTGTTTGCATGCATGCAGTGGCGGACCGAGCATGGGGGCAGTTGTCCCCCAAAATTTTATTTTCCTAGGTATATTTACCCCGAAATTTTAATATATACGTAGTATGTATTTGTATGTATATTTTTACACTGTCGCCCCTCCTAGTGGATATTCCTGCGTCTCCCGCTGTTTGCATGGACACACACATATATTTATATAATACTTGCATGCAATAATATGGATAAACCTAATTAACTTATCCAGGCCATAATTTTATAAAAATAAATAAATAAATAAATAAATTAATAAATAAATAAATAAATAAATAAATAAATAAATAAATAAATAAATAAATAAATAAATAAATAAATAAATAAATAAATAAATAAATAAATAAATAAATAAATAAATAAATAAATAAATAAATAAATAAATAAATAAATAAATAAATAAATAAATAAATAAATAAATAAATAAATAAATAAATAAATAAATAAATAAATAAATAAATAAATAAATAAATAAATAAATAAATAAATAAATAAATAAATAAATAAATAAATAAATAAATAAATAAATAAATAAATAAATGAATAATTACGTTACATAATAAATACATAAATAAACAAATACATAAATAATTAATAAATAATCCTTAATAAATAAATAAAGAAATAAATAAAATACATGTGTGTAGGAGTTACCTGCAACATCAAGACTGTTATATGAGCCTCTATAGATGAATCCGGATGCACCTTCATCGATGAGAGCTTTGATCGTCAGTTTCTTGGGGTCCAACTGCCACCCTTCCTCCGGCAGCGGCGGATGCCTTTCTCCGGCGTCCTCTTTGATCAACTCCGTTGACCGCTGCTGGCAACCCTTTTCCGCCGACCCAAACAGTGGATTTCCTCTTCCGCCGCCGGATTTTGGGTTTGACTTGAGGCGACCCTTTTCCTTGAGAAGTTTGCCGCATTCCATCCCGAACAGTAGGTCTTCCGTCGGAAACAGGCGAGTTTTTCCCCGGCCGGCAGGTCCACCCTTTTCGAGGATGTTGAGAAGTCGGTCAACGTGGGGTTTCAGCTGCTCGTCCATCCTTTTCAAATCCAAATCCATCGCCATAACCATTTTCGATCAATCAACCCCTTTCTTCGATCTGCTAATAATTTTATTATTGAACTTCAATTAATGTAGCTAGGGTACGCGGGAGATGAGAGAGTTATAAACTCCGTATATACTCTGTACTTCGTATGTTGCTAAAACCCTGCCGCCCACACTCCCACAGCAACGTAAATACTGCGTCATGGTCATTATTACTCCGTATATTTTTTTAGCAGCGTCATTATTTATAAAAGGTACTTTCATAAAAATATAAAAAAAAAAAAGAATTTTTTAGTATCTTTGTGTTTTCTCCTTTTTCCTGATTTGCTAGTGTCCTTTGTGTTTTTGGATTATTAAGAGAGAAATTGAGAAAGTTGTTGACTGAGCTTTTTGCTGAATCTAACGATTTGAGTTGTTTTCAAAAAAATGTTTTAAAACTTAATGTCCCCCCTTTTACCCCGATTTATTATTATTTAATCACAACTAGTACCCGTGTTGTGCACGGGATAAAATGACTTTATTTGAATTTAACTATATATGTGCACACGCGCATTGGTATATGTATGAGCTATTATAACTAACAGAAAGTCACTTATTTAGTCGATTATAACATTGGTTGATAATGTATATTTTTATTTATTGAGTATATCTTATTTTTTTTTTACATATTATCTAAACGCGTTTTCAATCTATATTTTCTCATTAAAAGAATCAATTTTTTGTACTCCGTATAACTTTTAGTTGCATCCAAATGAACTTCGTCTTTTAAAGAGAGATTTGCCTAAATAGGACTAAAACATATGAAAAATTCCATTATAGGACTACTAGTTTAATCTGAAGTAGCGTAGGACTAAAATAACGGTGGAATGCCAAAAATGCCCTGCGCCTCTCTTCTTCCGTTCGCCACTTGCCAGCCCTGCGATGAATGCAGTTTCCCAGGTAAGTTCTTCATGATCTCAAGCTTCTTCTTCTTCCTCTTCTAATCCTCTTCAAATTTCTAATCCTCTGTTCTCTTCTTCTTTTCATTTTTAGGATTTGAATTTTATTTATTAGTTTGGAATTTTTGGATATGAATTTTATCTATTCAACAAAATGCCGCTTTTATAATCTGAAATGTCAAAATTATGGTTTATTATGAAAAAACTGTCACGTTTGTGACAATATATTTATCAGGATGACAATATGAAAATGTCATATGTCCATACGAAAATGTCATTTTTATGGCATTTTGTGACATTTTTATGGCTTATCTAAGAATGACATAACTACTTGTTATTAGAAATGACATGTTTTTTTGACATTTTTCCAAATGATATCAGTATTTTCATCCTTAAATTGCCTTAGTTTTTTATCTAAAAAAAATATTTTTTACAACTACGAATGTCATGTTTAAAGTGTCGGTTTTTGAGAAACAATGTCAGTTTCATGACATACTGTCATATTGATAAATGTAATGTCACAAAAATGTCATTTTTCTAATTGCTTGTAATTTATGGCATTTTGGGGTTCCAAATTTATCAAAATTAATAAATAAAAAAATTGAAATCTAAAGAGGAAGAAAGCAAGGACCCAGATTCAAAGAGGATGGGAAGGAGAAGCCAAAAAAGAAAAGAGGAAGAAGAAAAGGAAGAAGAAGAGGAGGAGGAGGAGATCAGAGGAGGTTACCTGTCATGGTGGAGCAACTTCAGCGGCTCCAATCTAAAGGATGGCTCCAATCTGGGGGAATTGAACCCTCTTCTTCTTAATGAGATTCTAGTTTCAATTATTAAAGTGGATCAATTCCCTAGATTGAATAGCGAACTTGGAAAAGAATAGAGACTGGAGAGCAACAGCTTCGATGGTTGATGGGAGAAACGTAGGCACGCAACTGGGCGGAAGAAATAGCACGCACCAAATAGATCGAGAGAGGCAGAGAAATTGGGTTTAATTAGATGAAGGGTAAAAGTGTAATCTGGAGTCCTATTTGGGAAATAAAAAACTTAATGTCCCATTTTGGAGTTTAGTCCATGTTTTAGTCTCATTTTGGACAATTTCTTTTATCTAAACAAAAAAAATTGCTCAATGTCTATTTTAATCCATTAGATTTCATATGTAACTTACTGTTTTTCAAAGTGTTTTTTCCTAATATATTACTGCCTCCGTCCCCCTAAGTTTGAGACAAGAGATGATGACACAGTTATTAATAAAAGTGGGTTTATGTGGTTGATATTGAATTGATAAAGTAAGAATAAAGTAGGAATGATTTAAAACGTAACCACACAAACTTTACCAAATAAAGTATGAGTCAATCTTAATGGGACGAACCAAAATGGTAAAATGGGACAATCATAGCAGGACGGAGGGAGTACTAAGACAAAAGTCATAGACAAAAATGTTACTTAGTAACATTTCACATCGTATCAATGACTCTTCTATTAATTATTCCATTAATAAATAATAAGTTTATGGGTTTTCAAAAAAAAATAATAAGTTTATGGAGTGTTATTTTACCTCTAATCTGATTTTGATTGCCCTTAGCTTACGGCCTTACATATGTACATTTAAGTATTTAACAGTGTCTTAGACTTCTTTTAAAATATTAATCTTATCACACACACACACACACACATATATATATATATAGAGGGCTCTTCTCATCAGGCCGGCCTGACGGGCTGCCCCGTCCGGCCTAGCCCGTTTGGGCACCTTCCCGGTGGAATTTTTTGATGAATTTTTTTGAGCATGTTCCTCATCAAGTCTAGTTTGTCCATACCAAATTTCAGCTCAAAATTCGATTGGGAAGGTCGTCAAATGATTTTTGCAAGTTAACTGGTCTGGAAAATACATATTCCGGACCAGTTAACTTGCAAAAATCATTTGACGACCTTCTTGATCGAATTTTGAGCTGAAATTTGGTATGGACAAACTAGACTTGATGAGGAACATGCTCAAAAAATTTCATCAAAAAATTCCACCGGGAAGGTGCCCAAACGGGCTCGGCCGGACGGGGCAGCCCGTCAGGCCGGCCTGACATGAAGTTTACTCTCTCTCTCTCTCTCTCTCTCTCTCTCTCTATATATATATATATATATATATATATATATATATATATATATATATATATATATATATATTAAACGAGTTAAGTGAGTTTCCCGCTCAAGTATAAGGGTATTTCTGTCACTGCCTCTTATTTTTCTATTCTGCCGGTAGTCATAAAATTTCTTACGCTTCCTACGGATATTCTTCTTCCTTATCTCTTTTCCTTCCTATTATTCTGGATTTATCTCTTCTCCTCAGTGAGCTTCGTACGCTGAGTATTATATTCAAGAAATGCGTCTTCATCTCTTCTCCTTCCTTGGATTCTAGAGTATTATTTTCAAAAAAATTGAAAAACTTAACGATTTCGGTGATAAAGTTTCACTTGCTTTCGCTCACAGCCTAGAGGTTCTATCTCAGTCATTCTTCGCATTATTGGTTAGTATTCTTTGCGAAATCTAGCTCTTTATTTTTATATTTACATGTCGTATGATAATCTGAAGTTCCCCTTAATTTTCATCTAAAACGTAACCCTAGATTAGACAAAAGTGTATATCGTCTCTATCAATTTTCCAATGGCTGGATTTTGTTTTGTTCTTTACATCTTATCTAGATTTATATTTTTTCGAGAAAGCCTATATTTGTAATAATTCTTTCGATTGGTTATACGGAGGCTGTTCAAAGGGCAACACCTATAAGGTGTTTGCTAAAATGCAGCAATTAATATTTTGATCAATTTTTAGATATTTATTTCCTTTTGATTTTCTTGATTAAATCATTGAAATACTTTGATATTTATTCTTTCTGAAATATGGTTTAGGACTTCAAACTTGTGAATAAATAATGAGTTGAAAAGAGCAGACCTTTTTGCTTTGCCTAATGGAGTTAAAGCCACCATTTTTACCAAATAACTAATACATCCAATTTTCTTATTAGCTTTCACGAGTAGAGACATTTGACCAATTCATTTAAAAATGCATCCACTATTTTAAATGACTGATTTATTTGAAGCCGGTGACAATCCATTGCATTCTTAAAACCAACCATATGTTAGTAGCATCAATGGGCTTTGAGTGAAAAAATTGGTAAGTGACTGTTTAGCAAAAACGCAGAATGGATAAGATATGTATGCCAACTATGGTTACTGAGTAACTTCCTTTTTACCCTTTTTATTTCACTTTTTTCAATAGTAGTATACTCTAAATCCTCACTGAAAATACTAAATTGATTTGGACATGAAGAGGTTCAGCCATGAGTATAAATGTGAAAACAAAGTTATAGTAAAACCAGTCTCTCTTTGCTTAATACGCTGCTTATGAGGTGAGTGAGGATCAAGGCTTGATAGTAGGTGTCTTACAAATTCAGTTTACAAGCATTCTCTCTAATGCAATCTATATCTATATCTATATACTAATTAACTCAACTAAGTATCCCGCCAACTTCTAAAGGGCATTTGTGTAACTTCAAGCATCCGCTCCCTCATTGTTTTGTACATCGACTCCTTTGGTTCTATCAGTCATATTTTCCTTCCTCTTCACCGGTTCTTTTAATCGATATCTCTAGATTTGGAATCCCTTTGCTCATCTCTATCCCTATTTCCATTCCTCACGCCCAGCTCTTTCTCTGTTCATCATAACCTTTAATTTGACTTAAACGCTTGAGCGTCGTTTCTCCCCACATGGCCACATCCCCCTCTTAGGTCTCCTCTTTCTCTATTCATATTTGCGAGATAATCAGTGGCGGATCTCTTTGTATCAAAAGTGTTCTTGTGAACATCTAGAAATAAAAAAAACAATAGAACACCCAAAATGTAAATATTAGGTCTGCCACTGGATATAATTGACTTCAGCTCATATACTCACTATCTTGACAAAGTTCTCACTTTGTATTTGCCAGCATATATACCACAACATGGGATTCCACCAATATACTCACATGCCATCTCAACAAATCTCACATGTTATTTTATCTCAAATCTATGTTTTCATAATTGTGTTCATCATTTCATTTTAGCTTATTCATTATATACATTTTAAATATCCTTTAAACTTTCTGTTAAACCCCAAAATTATAGGTTTAAGGGCTCATGCTATTACAAGTACATCGGATCTCTGTGATGTTTTACTATTCTGCTCTTCGTACTTATATCCAATCTGCTATTTGTTGCCCAGCTCATCTAAAC